ATGTATGTTACATTAGGTGCTTACTTAGACGCATTCAGTGTTCAAGATATGCAAGAAGCATTAGATGCATTAAATGAACGGCTTCTAAATGGTGAATGTTCAAATGATGACAATAGCTTGCCCCTATTTTGTTCTTACTCAGTCACAGAACATTTTGTTAAAAGGTATAGGTCAATATACCAAACATTAAGAGAACTTATGATTCTAATACAAGAAAAACGTAATAGTGGAGAATTGCCAGATACATTCCAGATATTCACGAAAATAGGACTATAAGGGATCACCTAATGAATATTGTGTAGGTAATTGATATATTTCTTATTGTATTATAATTATCATGCTTGTTGTTTCAAATGTTCAAAACCTACATAGAAAGTTTAATGCTCTGTACATTTTTTTTCTTTAATATTGTTCGTCATACTGATACTCTAAAAATAGTTTTGTTACAGAAACTCATTGAAATAACTGATTCGGACTACTCGACTATCTTTTGATTGAGTAAAATGTAGGTACAGAGAGCTACACATGAAGTTACCCAAAACTGACGATTTATTAATCGATTGTAAATCTTAAACCATGAAATATAAAACTCATAATCAGTTGCGGAATGAGTGAGATGAATGAGAGAATCAGTTGAGCTTTATATTGTATGGTTTAAAATTCTTAATCTTTAAAGAAAAGTGGCAGTTTTTGGTAACTTGATGGATGTTCATCAACATTTTGTAGCAGAGTCACAATTTATAGATTTATTATATATAGTAGTCTTAATCAGGCTCAGATAAATCAAAGTATATAGTTTGATTTGCAAATCCGGGCGGTAGATCTTTGAGAATAGTAAAATAAGATAAAAGTTTCTCTTCGTTCGTTCGTTTTCTAATAAAAACTATATAATTAACGGTTTTCAGATGATTTTGACTACTTGTATATGCATCAATCTATTAGATGTTTAATTCAAATATGTACGTTGAATCTCATCAATCACGGAAACGTCCATAACTTGTGGTTTTTATGAAATATTTATTTGGAATTGCCTCTTTATAGTGTAAAAATCAAAAAAAAATCTAGAAACGCGGTTTGTCAATTTAGTATAAATCACAATGATAAATAAAAAATTATGCATACAATAATAAAGAAATTGTGTACCTAAATTGTATGCCTTTGGAAAAGATGATTGTGTTGGATCTGTTTAATATTTATAAAAACCCATTGTACTTAGTTTTCCTACAAACTTAAATTCTTGATGTCGCCGACTCGAGAGGTCCCGGGTTCAAATCCCGGTGGAGGCAAATGTTTGTGTGATGAATACGAGCATTTATACTCCAGTCATGGATGTTTAATATGTATTTCTATAAAAATATACTTATATATGTACAGTATTATGTATTCTATCTCCGTTACTCTAGTATTCCATAACACAAGCCTTATAGTGCTTACCTTGGGGCTAGCTAATTGGTGTGTGTTGTTTTTTTTTATTTATTTATCTTGAGATACTCTTTTGTATGAAAACAGTATCTCAGGATCGAAGTTTCAAAGAGTTGAGCGATCTATTAATACGGGCCTAAATGTGAATAAGTCTATTTAATAAAATTATATTAGTTCCCTTCACATTATCAGGCACCACTCACGCAGGTAACTATTTAGTTTTTATCGTCTGTAAAATAGGGATCATGACCAACGATATTAAATACCGATGTATCTAGACATCAACACGAACAAAATCATTCCCGAAAGCTGTCCAAATGGCACATAGCTTCGTAAGATGATCGCGTTGTCAAAAATAATATAAGACATTATTTAAACATTAGTCACCTTTAATGCACCCTGTATAGTGTATAAAGTTTTTTCGATTAAATCGTTAAATTAACTAACATTGATTAGATACCTCTCCAAAAACCAAACTATATACCAAAAATATTTTTACTTTTCAACGGTCCGCGCGTGAAAAGACTTCTCTACCAAGCAGTAGTGAAGAAGAGTGGAGTTCAAGCACTTCTTGATTGGGACACATTCTGAGCGCACGTGGTGTATATAGGGTATTTAATATCGTTGCTGTAAATACCTACTTATTTTCCTTTTCCAATGCCATTTTTGTACCAAAGGTCTAATTCAGCTATTCATTGTATTTGTGTGAAAAAAGGAAATGCATTCAAACTGCCCTAAATAATTTATGTAGGTATTATTTGTCATATAATTTTATGTAATACATGCGAAATAAAATAAGAAGATCACCAGTATACCATTTAGGTTCAGTTTGTCGCTGACCAATTTTGCTTTAAACTACTCTAAACAGTAATAAAGAGTATCTTTGTTACTAAATGAAAGACTGGTAGTATTATCGGAAATTAAGATTTACATTTTCATAATAGATAACTAGCTAACTAGAATAGGAGGAATAGGGAAGCAATCACCTACGTATAATAGGCTAGTATAGCTAGCTCATGTCAAATTGCACTATACAAATGTTTATTTCTTATAATATTTGGTATGAGGAACCTAAATACATCGATTTCACTTAATGAAATTAGAAGATGGCTGTAGTAATTTAATTTGAAAAATAGTTTTTTTAGTCTATGCTTTTTAAAAAACGCTGTCCACCATGATTGTCACGTCAACATAATAGCAAACAAGTAAACGTCATTGGTGCCAATTCTGGCGTCATTCTCTAAACTTAAAACTAAATTTAACATCAGTCTCTCCTTTTCATTTTGTATGGAGAATGACAAGGATATACTGCTGTCAAATTTAAGTTTAGGTTTAGAGAATTACGCTAGAATCGACACCATTGTCGTGTTACTGTGGTTTCTTTCGTCCGACTAAAATATATCTAAAAACTCTTATATCTTGAAGAAAAGTTTCCGTTTATTGGTTTTCTTTACTAAATTAATGCTGGACGCTGGATTTGTGAAAGCAGAAACGACAAAACTTTAACTTAGCAGGTACATTCATAACCTTAAAAATTTAAACCACAACATTTCTGGAGTCTTTAACGATGTGTTTCTTTATTCTCGTATAATACAATCATAATAATTACTATATTTATCATGAAATCTATTAGAAATCATGGTTTTGTAATGTAAATTCAGATAGGTTATATCCTACGTGCTTGCGAGTGTTTGTTTACTATATTGTTCCCGTCATACCATAGATAATCTATAGACTAAAATGGCCGACAGCGTTTTTGTATGTCCATGAAAAATTTATTATAAAATTAAAGTTTTGTAGCTATCTAGGTAAAAAAAATACATTTTTTTTTTCGGTCTAATTGAACAATTATTAACCATTTAATTAAAACATATTTCCAAAAAGTGTCAACTAGCCATTACAGAGTTAAGATTAATTAAAACATGTTATTTTTTCAATAAAAATGTCTTTATAATATTCTGATTTTTCATTTTCAACTATTCTGTGAAATAATGATTGTTAACCTCAGTAATGGAATATTTATCGTGAAAACTAGGCATAACCATTAGTCAATGTAAACAAAGACTACCATGGTGGAGTGGTACTGTGGTATGAACACAGCTTTTAAATAGCCTACTCAGTGTTCGAATCTTGTTAGGGCAAATGTTAGTATGATGAATACAATTAATAAAAGCATTTTTATTGGTTACTCTATTATCCCGTAACACAAGCCAGTGCTTTGGGGCTAATAGGTAGGCTATTGTGAGCGAGGAATTGGTGGGAACATAGATAAAAGCTATAGAGAAGTCAGTCAAGGTGGGAGCAACATGCTATCTCCCTCAAAGTAGGGGCGCTAAATATTGATTATATTGTCACCAGCACTACATATAATAGTTGTACAGTTTCTCTTCTGTTATTTTAGAAACCTTGTAACTTATGAACTCAGCACTGTTGGCAATATGTATTGACACACATAAGCCATTGGTAAATTATTTCTTATTCCACCTGTTCCATGAATTCTCTTACACACACAATCACATTTCTAGATCAAAGGGCTGTGCTCTGTGGTTTTACCCTCATTAATTTAAAGAATTAATTTTATTTAACTAAGTTACAGTTACATACTGATATAGCTTCCTTGGGTTACAGTGAGTCAACCTTAAAAGATATATATGCCTTTGCAGACAACATTTGATGGGGAACAATTTTGTAATGCATAATATTAATTATGTAAAGATTAAGTAAAACAATACATTGTATTGAAAAATATAATATTATAACATCGCCTGGATTGCGAAGGGTGTGGGTTCGAGTCCCGTCTGCTGCCTGGTCCTAGTGGATTTTTTCTCATTATATATTCTTTAGATTTAAACATCAAGCAGTTACATGCTTTAAAAATAAAAATTATAACTATAATTGCTATTTCTTCTTTCAAATGTTTAATACTTGTAAAAGTATTCATTTGACATTGTGGGTTACCTATAATGCAAAGAGATGGCGCTGCCTTGCAGCTTAAGAATGGCTGGAGGAATTTCGACGCGGTCCGTGAGGGCCGCGGTAGCATAATTGGTCAGTGCATTCGCCCGGATTGCGAAGGGTGTGGGTTCGAGTCCCGTCTGCTGCCTGGTCCGCGTGGATTTTTTTCTCGTTATATATTCTTTAGATTTAAACATCAAGCAGTTACATGCTTTAAAAATAAAAATTATATTATAACATTTTAAAATCTGGGGCAGGGAGCACTTATGATTTGCCCTAGAATTAGTATATAAAATGAAAATATAGGTAAGTTACAAATGCTTTTTTATGGCTTCTGCTGCCCTTTGTAGCTCTGGTAGCAGTCCCTCACAGCCTGCCACATCAGACCATGACCATGGCCTTGGCTCAAGGATAAAAGTGCCCTTGTCTACTTTAACAATTTATAACTACCCTATTGAAACTTAACGCACCTACAAACATTTAGCCGTAACATTACATATAACTGATATATGGCATAGTTAAAAACAAACTGTTATGTATCCATTTATTTTCGTCATTTTAAATACAGTAGATTTAAATTTGTGAAGAAATGAATCACTCATTTTTGTTATAAGAGAGTGAACTCAATATTTAGGCATAAAGTGCCCTCTAGCTTTTTTAGTGCGCTTTGCTTTTTCAATATCTACATCAGGGTATTCAGATTTAAGTAATTCCATGTCTAAGTCTGGGAATCTTTTTAGTAACTGCTGTACGTGATTATAATCCCTGTTCTTGGCTTTCCTCTTTTCATTATATTGTTTCTCTTTATATAACCTCAAAAACTTTTTCACAGCCACACTATTGATATAACCATTTTCCAAATATGGTTTGACCCACCGTGAATTCATGAATCTTGGTATTGCATACTCTTTTTTTTCATACTTCTCTGGAAGACCGATTAAGTTAATGACATCTTCCACAGGGCGTTCACCAGTTTCACCTGTTTCTAACTTGTAGTAAGCGATATTGCGTTCCCTTACTACTTTTTCAATATTGTCCATAGATTCCTGTACTTTGTCAATCCTTTCTGGATTTGGAAACAGCCTAACCTTTTCATTGCATTCATGTTCCATTGTATACAACATGTTACGCTCTTTTAGTAACACATACCACAATTTATGAAGATCCGTATTAGATTTTATTCTAAGCTCATCCAATTTCCAAGAACGCCCTACTTTTATGTTAGTTTCACTCCAATTTTTCTTTGAATCGAAAAACTCCATGAGATCGAATTTTGTTGATGTCGTATGGAATTCATTTTTTAAAACGAGTGCTGAACAATTTCTATAAATATTTTGCGATTTGTTTAAAATACTTGCGCATCTTTGAAATAACTTGTTCATTTTTCTGGTCAGAAAATAATTTTAATTTGACCATCGATTTTGACGAATTAAGTGCAAACTCAGTGTTGCCAACTCGGATTTTGAAAAAGGCGTAGGCCCGATGAGGAAATTACGTAGATTTAGTAATTTTTGCATATGAAAAGTACGTAGATCTACGTATTTTTTTCTGAGTGAAATGAAGAAGTCCGAATGAAACGAGTATTTTGTTATACAATTTCTTTAAAAACGGGAAATGGAACAAAGAGTTCTTGGAGAAATCGCTGCATTGGAAGCATTTACCATGCTGCGGTAGACCATGACCATGTGGTATTATAAAACCATGATTTCTAATAGATCACATGAAAAATAGAGTTAGCTATCATAATACACTCGGTAAAAGACTCTAGAAAGTTGTGGTTAAAATTGCCAAGAGAAATAATACATACACTTATACATGAACACATGTTAAAAACTTTCTAATTCCTGTAACTTTATCGACTGAAAGTCATTTCTTTTTGCAAACATCAATTCGATGTAAGTACTCATTGAACAATATTTAAAGTTTAAAAATTGAATTTTTAAGGTTAGGAATGTACCTACTAAGTCAAAGAGTTTTGTCGTTTCTCCTTTCACAAATCCTGCGTCCAGCATTAATTTAGTCAATAAAACCAATAACGGGAACCTTTTCTACAAGATACAAGAGTTTTTAGATACATCTGTATAAGAAATAAACATTTTTATAGTTTTTAAGAAAAGTAACGGAAAATATTCATCTTTATTCTAGTGAATTGTTATTTTACAAATTTGAAAAAATTCAAGAAAATACGTAGATTCTGGGACTAAAGTTAGTAGGTTTGCAGAAAAAGCCCCAAAAATACGTAGATCTACGTAAAAAGACGTAGAGTTGGCAACACTGTGCAAACTGCAAAGACTACAAAACAAAACTGTCAAATTTCTCCATCTGACTTTAAGCTCTATACCATTCTAATATGGTCTAAAATTCATAAAAAACATCTTATTGACTGTTTTTTAATATCAGATATATGACATGCTGATATAATGCCACCATTTTTTTTTAAGATTCTCCCTTTTTAAGGAAAGCAAAGGAAACAATGCCCATACAGTCTGGCCTTAAGTTATATAAATCTGTCTTTTACATTAAAATGTCGGTGTGACGCATTCCAATGTTTTTTGGAATGTTTGGCACGAAATGTATCGAGTTGGCTTTATCGATAAGCTTCTGTGAGGTAGTCAACACTACAATAAAGTTCTCACGTCCACTTGACAGGAATAGCGCATGTTTTAAAGATTCCACTAATTATTCAGTTGCGCTGACGAATATAAGGATAACTTTAAAAAGGGACGCCAACCGCACTCGATGAAATCCCGCCAAAGGGTACGGCCACAGTGCACGCTGGTTCAGAATGTTAGTACCTTTAATAACTAATTACAAACTATGTTAAATAAATGAAATAAACTTGTTGTAGACATCTTAATAGCACTGTATTTTCGGTAAAACTGGACTTCCAGGGCCCAAGAATTGACACTTCACTATTTATTGGTGAAAAGGTCTGTTAATGAAGTCTCTATGCAAAGTTTTTACACCAGCGCACTGATAGTTTTTGAGAAAAATAAAATATTGAAAATTACTTTTCTAGTAAATAAATAACACCATTTTGACATTTTTTTTTATTTTCTCTTTATTGAGATAAAGCAAAATAAACAAAGTGCATACAGCCTTATTTTTTATTGAATGATTTTCATACAGCCATTGAGAGTATTCTTTGGCAGCCAACAATTTTCAGTTATTGGCAAGAAGAGAGAAAGGAGGAATATATGGGCTCTTTAAAGTTTTCTACCAATTTTTTTTATTATACACTGCACTTCTGCATCATCTCCGGCGCTGCGGGATTAGCAGCTCCTCCGCCCTTGCGTAACAAAGGCTCACAGACACTCACGCTATCCTTCGCAACTTCGACTTGTTCGAGCCTCAGCCGCTACGGGTCGCGAGTGCCTGTGGCTTTGTTACAGCGAGCGGGGGCTGCTCCCCCTCCGCGCCTCCCTCTGGGCTCTGAAAAACACTCTAGGGGTAGGGCAGACCAAGACCACGGTGTTTCGGTGTTGACAAAGTCGGTTCTGTATTCAAGTTACATGAATAACCTAATAATAAGAAAGAAAGTAGATAAATGAAAAGAAAATTAGAACTATTATCATACACAATTAAAAGCTTTTAATTGTGTATTAAAAAAAATAGTTTTTGTAAGGAATTTTTGTGATTAATTTTATTTCGACGGCTGTATAATAATCTCATAGATTACTAAAAAACTATATAAAAAGCTATGTTAATTTTTAAAATGGTGTTACTGGGTGTTACATATTTATTAAGAAAAGTAAACATTTCCAATATATTTTTTTAAAATACTACCAGTGCATAAGTGTGACACTTTGTTTAAAAATGTGGTTTAAAACAGAAACCTTTTCAACAACAAAAATGCGAAGTTGCAATCAACAAAACTGTGAAGTTTTTAGTTTTGGGCCCTGGAAGTACAGTATATCCGACTCTAATGAGGTTCTACACTCCTCCTCAATTTGGTAATTAAAAGTTAATTAATAAATCAAAATACACACATAAACACATATAACTTAAACACTTCAACACGCCTCTTCATAAAACACTACAAAATACTAGTCATAAAGTTTATAAAATTAATTATCTTTTCTCTTGAAAGAGCTTTCGTCATGATATCAGCAAGATTATTATTAGTGTCTATATACTGAGCGTTGATTTCTCCCCTTTTAATTAAATCTTTGATATGATGGTAACGGATATCAATATGTTTCGTCCGTTTACTGTTCTTTTAACTTCTAGATATTATTATACAATTAGCTCCTTATTATCTACTTACAGTTTAGGTTGTTTATTCTCACCTAAATTTTGTGTTATGCCTTTCAAATTCATTGCTTCACATGCAGCTATATACTCTGCCTCTGCAGTTGAAAGAGCTACGCAATTTTATTTTCTGGAATACCAAGATATTATATTATTGTTGTATAAAACTACACAGCCACTCACGCTTTTGCGGTCGCCTTTGTCTCCAGCCCAATCTGCATCAGAGTATACTACAAACTACATTCTTTTTCATTTCTATTGTATACCAGACCAATTTCTTTTGTTTCTTTTAGGTATCTCACAACTCTCTTTGCCTATTTCCAACATTCTTCATTCGGTTTGTCAAAGAATTCTGCTAAATATGATACAGCAAAACTAATAAGTGGTCTTGTTACTGTAGCAATAAACATCAAGCTTCCAATTAGTTCTCTTTATGGTACATCAATAGTTTGATCTGTAATTTCAATATGTAAACCCTTCTCCATTGGGGTTTTCACACCATTGCACTCGGACATTTTAAATTTTTCTAATATTTTATCAATTTGTCTTAATTGACTTATTTTCATTTTTCCATTTTTATTTTCTATTTCCATTCCTAAAAAGTATTTAACATTGCCCAAGTCTTTGGCTTTAAATTCATCAAACAATAACTTCTTTATCTTATTTACTTCTGCTTCTTTTCCCATAAGTAAAATATCGTCTACGAAGATAATTAAATTGACATTGTCATTATAATATAAACAATTGTCGTAGAATGATCTGTCTAATTTATTTTTAATTAAATAGCTATTAAATCGCTTATTCCAACATTTTGGACTTCTTTAAGACTCAAAAGAAGTTTATACGTTCTTAATTAATTAGAAAGTCCAAAATGTTGAAAAAACCTTATTCTTAGGTAATTCTACACCTTCAGGTTTCTTTATATAAACTTCGTTTTCTAAATATCCAGTTAGGAATGCTGTTGGGATATCTAATTGGTGAATTCTTGTGCTAAAAACATTCTAACTGTGCTAAATCTAGATACAGGGGAATAGTTATCTTGAAGTAATTCTCCTCCTGAACTTGTAATCCTTGCGACTAATCGCTCCAATTTTTTTATTCCATTTTCTTTAATGTTATGTACCCATTTAGTGTCTATGGCCTCCTTGTTTTCGGGCTATTCAGCTACTGTCCATGTTTCTAGTTTTTAAAATTTTCTATTTCTTTCTTTTTTGCAACCGTGCGTTCATGTCGAAATTTTTTACCACGTACGACAAAACTGTGGAATATGTTGTCGCCAGCAGTGTTTCCGGACCAATACGACCCAAGAATCTTCAAAAAAAGAGCGTACTCCTTCCTTAAAGGCCGGCATTTGTGATACTCCTGGTGTTGCAAGTGTCCATGGGCGACGGTGATCACTTACCATCAGGTGAGCCGTCTGCTCGTATGCATCTTAATTGCTTACTGCTTGCTTAAAAGTTTTAGGTATCTTCCCTTCACATGCATTTAATAAACAGAATGCTGTATAAACTTGATAATCCTCTAAATAAGTTAGTAATTTAACTTTTCTTCCTAGTCTCGTATATTTTTCGTCTTCAATATTATTATCATTTAAGTCTGTTATATTTTCTTGTTCTTCACTACTTTATTCATTTAAATTTTCAATTTTATATTCTTTTTTGTAAGTATCATTATTAATTTTATGTTGTACTATTTTATTATCTATTGGGTTTCAAAGTTTGTAACCTGACCCAAAATATCCTACCATAATCATGGTCTTTGCTCTAGGTGCTAGTTTATTAAGCTTTGGTATACTTAGTTGTGCACCAAACTCTTGCACCAAAAACTCGCTGCTTTTCTAAATTATTTTTGCCATATCAAAACATAGACGCGCGTTTTTCCATGTGAAGCTTTTGTAGGATTTTTATTTATTTCGTAAGCTGAGCACTGGCTAGCTTCTACCCACAATTCTTTTGGTAAGTTTGTCTCAATTAATTTTGTTTTGTTTAATTTAATAAAGTTCTTTTTATTCTTTCGGAAGTGCTATTTTGTTGCGGCGTATATGGCGTTGTGTATTGTACATTGATTCCTTTCGATTCACAAAATTTCTTAAATGCTTTTGACGTAAATTCTCCACCATTATCCAGTCTAATCTTTTCAGTTTTCAAATTAAATTGAGTTTTGATATGTCATATAAAATTTGCTATATTTTGTTCTGCTTCATTTTTATTTTTTAATAGTTTTACGACAACGTAATGAGAGTAGTCGTCTATCAGAACTTGAATATACGTTTCTCCATTTATTCCTGGTGGTAAGATTGGACCACAATGATCTGAATGTATGAGATGTATGATTACTAGAAATAGTAAAGAAATTGGAGACCACAGGTAGAAAAGACCTTCTAGTACTTTTGCCTTCTATGCAACTAGTACATATCGTATTTGAAACTGGTAATTTTAATATTTGTAAACCTTTCTTGTTTAGGTACACAACTCGTCTATGCCATAAATTATCTTCATTATCTTGTTTTGATAAAAGTACATCTGAATTTTCGTTTGTTTGTATTTCTAATGGAATTTTATACAAATTGTTATCTGTTTCTCCACTTAAGTAAAGTTCTTTTCCAATTAAATGTACTTTATTGTCTTTAAAAACTACTTTGTATCCTTTTCTGGTAATCGAGTTAACCGATAGTAAATTATGAGATAAATTTTCCATTATTATAGCTGTGAATTCAATCATATTGTTATTTAGTTTTCCAGTTATGGTTCCTCTCTTTCTAGCTATTAACTTTTTCTATTCTTTTACTTTTTGAATTCTATTTCTATTGATTATGTTACCTGAGTTTGTTAGTAAATTATATGACCTTGGTTTATTTGCATGTTCTATTATTTCTGCTTGTCTATTAAAAGTTCCTGTTTTATGGTTTTTTAATAAAACTTTATCTCCTATTTTAAATTCTTTTAAAGGTTTGACATGTTTATTGTAATAAAGTTTCTGTTTATCTTGTCTTTTTTTTAATTGAGACCGTATTTGTTTATTGTTTTGGTTATTATTGTTTGTAAGATTAATTAATATGCCCCTAACTTTGTGACCCATTAGCATTTCATTTGGAGATTTTATATACTGTGATATTGGGTTGTTTCTCAATTCTAATAATGCTAAATAAGGATCTTTCTTATCATCAACACATTTTTTTAACATTTGTTTTATAGTTTGTATATGCCTCTCCACCATGCCATTGCTTCTTGGGTAGTATGGTGACGAAAAATTGTGCTTGAAACCCCATTTCAATGAAAATTCTTTAAACTTCTGCGAAGCGAATTGAGGACCACCATCAGTCTGTATTTCTAATGGAATACCAATTGTTGAGAAACATTGCTTTAGTCCTTTTATAACTTCTTCTGCTGTTAAACTTTGTAAATTTATTACCTCTATGTATTTAGAAAAGTAATCTACAATTAATAAGTAATCGTTTGAATATAAATGAAATATGTCTACTCCTAATTTTTGCCATGCTTTGATAGGAACTTTATGTTGGATAAGAGGTTCTTTTTGATTTTCTGGGCTATATTTTATGCAAGAATTACAATTTTTTATGAAGTTATCTATGTCTTTCGACATTCCTATCCAAAACAATGATTCACGAGCTCTAATTTTTGTTTTTTCTCTACCTATGTGATTGTAATGTAGTTTTTGTAACATAACTTGCTGTAAAGATTTTGGCACTACTAAACAATTGTTTTTAAAAATTAGTCCATTATGTGTAAATCTATATGGAATGTATGGTATGGTTTCAGTATTTTAGGCAGGGTTTTATTTGTTATTGGCCAACCTTCTCTTATATACTTTTTTAATAGTTTTAGTTCTTCATCATTGTGGGTTTCTTTTTTAAACTCTTCATATCTTTTTAAGCTCATTTTTTCTTTTAGGTCTATTAAAAGTATACTGCAATCTAAATCATAATCATCACTAACATCTGTCTTCAAATAATTTCTTGATAAGTAATCAGCTAGAATTAAACTTTTACCCGGTTTGTAAGATAATGTAATGTCATAATGTTGTAGTCTTAATCTCATTTTCTGAAGTCTAATCGGTATTTCTGCTAATGATTTTTTCATTATTGGTATAAGAGGTTTGTGATCAGATTCTACATCGAAATTTTTACCCATTATATAAAAATGAAAATTTTCACAAGCATAAACTATGGCATACATTTCCTTTTCGATCTGTGCCCATGCTTTTTGAGTATCAGTGAATGCTTTAGATGCATAAGCTATTGGGTATCCATCTTGTAGGAGAACTGCACCTACTCCATTACTACTAGCATCCACACTTAAAAGACAACGTGAGTTAGGATTATAATATTTTAATATAGGAGCTGCAGTCAAATATTTTTTGATTTGTGAAAAACTATTTTCTTGATTTTGACCCCATTCCCACTTATTTTCTTTTTTTAACAATGTTCTTAATGGTGCTGTTAAATCAGAGATATTAGGAATAAATTTAGAAACATATGTAATGATACCCAATAACTTTTGTATCCCCGTGATATCCTTTGGTTTTTCCATTTTAATTATGCTTTCAATTTTATCATTATCTATTGAAATACCTTTGTCAGTGAAAATGTGCCCTAGGAATTTTAATTTATTTGTGCCTATTCAGAATTAAAAGTTATATTATGTTCAGATGCCTTTTTTAATACCTTTTGCAATATTTCATCGTGAATGTTTGATTTTCCCCCCACAAGATCAAATCGTCTACAAAGATTTCTACGTTAGGTATGTCTTCAAACAAGCGAGAAAACTGTTTATGGTATACTTCTGATGCTACCTTAACACCATAAGGCATTCTTAAAAAACAATATCTGCCAAACGGAGTTTGAAATGTTGTAAGCTTTGAGCTGGTATCACTTAATTTTATCTGGTAAAATGCTTTGCTACAGTCTAATTTACTAAACACTTTTGCATTAGCCATTTTTGCAGATATTTCTTCAAATGTGGGAAGCTTAAAATGTTCTCTTAACAGGCAAGAATTTAGGTATTGAGGATCTAGACATATACGTAGAGAATTATTTGGTTTTCTTACAATTACTACAGCATTCACAAAATCTGTTGGTTCTTCTATTTTCCTTATGATTTTATTAGACTCCATTTCTTTCAATTCCTTTTTGTAATCATTTAATAGTTTCATGGGCACAGGTCGACAGGGAATAACTTTACCCACATAATTTGGTATCAATTTAAAATCATATACATAGTCCTTTATTTCACCTATTCCTGAAAATAATGTTGGATATTGATTTATAATATCTTCTTTTTGAACTTGACACATGGTAACAATTAAACTAAGTTTTTTAATTGTAGGTAAGCCTAGTAAAGGTGCAGAGTCACAATCAACTACATGGAATTTTAATAATTGTTTTTTACCTTTTATCGAACACAATAAATTTATTGTTCCCAGTAAATTAATTACAGAGTTGTTATAGTTTCTCAATATAGCATTTGAATAATTTAATTGTTCCTTAATATTTAACTGATTCAAAAGTTTCTTACTTATTACATTGCATCCTGTACCAGTGTCAAGTTTGAACAACAGTTTTTTACCTAATTCAATAAAAGTTACCTGTACCGTCCAGTCCTGAGTATTGATGCTACCCAGTAAGATTTCATGTTTCTCTTCATCTTGTTGGATTTCTTTAATTTTATGAGCATTCCATTGTTTACTTCTGCAAACAGTTGCAAAATGGTTTGATTTCTTACAAAAGCTACACATTTTTCCATATGCTGGACACTGACGATGAGAGTGTTCGTATCCACAGCTTCTACACTTAAACACTTTTGGTTGTTGGTTGGTATTAAATTGCTTTTTGTGTATCCTCCTCTTGTAATTGTCTTGTAATTTATTAACTTATCCCTTATTAGGCCGTCCCGTAGATTGCCAAAGTTACAGGTTAAAGCCAGTTTTTTAATTTCTGACAGGTAATAAATGAAATTTTCCTCCTGTTTTTGATTACGAGCGAAGAATATGTGACGATTAATAGTTTCATTAGTTTTAGGAAGACAATATTCTTTCAGGGCTGTGAGAACTTTCTCATAATCACTTTTTTCTGGTTCTGTTAGGTTAAACGTTTCAAATTTATCCAAACCCTCTTCACCTAGTAGGTGCAATAGTATTGCCGCTTTTGTGTCTGAGGGTTTTTTGTGGCATTCATTTGCACACATGTATAATTCTACAAGTCGTAACCATGTTTTAAAATTTTTTGCAAGGTCCCCTTCAAATGATAATGGCGGAGGTTGCGTTAAGGCAAGACTAGGTGTTGTGTCTGCCCTTATACTGACTGACCTGTTTGTTGTTGGAGCGAGTCCCTGGTTCTGATTATTATTCGACTGCGCCATATCATATTATGTTGGTCTTTATAAATTAAACAATTTATTTTTAGAACATCACGTCTTTTATTTTACACTTCTTACCATAGATTAACTCACATAGGTTATATAACTCTAATATAGAAACAATAATGACACAGATTATATTCAATAATGTCACACTACCGTACAAAAGCTATTTTATTCTTATTATTAATCGGTATGTTTTTTTAATGTATGTGGAAAAAACAGTCCATGCTGTTTCTTGCCGGTTCATTTCAGTACAAAGTCTCGCCATCGTTTTGCGAACCGATGGGGTAACTTCTCAACTTTCACGAGTGTTTGTGACAACCTAGACCGAATTTTCTTTTTTTTATATATACAATTATGTAATTTAGCATTTCAAATATCAATATTTTGGGTATTTCGATGTCGGTATTATCGATATCTGTGAATTTAACTTACCGATATAAATTATGATATTTTGAGTTCAATATTATCGATTTCTCGATATGTCGTTGCAACCCTATCTGTGGCTAGTCTGTGCCTCGAAAAATGTCGTGCAGTGTTATGAGTTGTTTGATCCGTTTGTATTTATTGGAATTTTGGGAGCTAAGCATAATAAATTCGATCAATTCTGTTGAACATTAATACGTTTATATAATTTGGACTATCAGAAGTGAATATAATTGTACATTTCAGTGTGAGTTTGATATTGGTAACCTTTCAATATTTGTCCGGAACATACAAGGTATTTATCGTATTACAAAACATTTTTCTTTTAAACTTTAAGTACCTAAATTATTTATTGCCCGTATATCATTCTGATCGGGTTGCTTAAAATAATAGTAATTTTATAGTAACTTGAAACTGTACTTAGTTTAATGTGTTTGTACACCTATTTGTTTTTGTATCAGGTTTTGTTCTTTTTGTTCGGAGCATCACATCATTGAATAATAATCAGAGAGAAAAAATAATTTTATGATTATGGATAGCCATTGAAAAGCCTATCTGCCATTCATATTAATAAACTAAATACAATATTATTCATATAAATATTAAAAATGCATTAATATAGAAAACAAATTTATGCAGTTAAAGAGAACGTGTTTCTAAACTAAACTATTTAAAAGATCTATAATATTCACAAGTACAAACTTTCTAAAAACATTCTTTTTCCAGGCTAACTTTGCTTAAACTATGTCCCTTTAATAATAAATGAAGAATAAGCTCTGATTAGTTACTCCATGTTTTGTCTGATTATTGAATGACAAATGAAATTTGAGTGATATGAACAAACACAGAGTAACTGGTATAAGCTTACTCCTAATTTATTAATAAGGGGGTAAAGGCATTATTGACAAGTTTGAATCAAATTTATGATCCCACTTCCTTTCAGACAACAATAGAATGAGACAAAATGTCACTATGACAAGCAAGAAATTTAATTTAACAACTAAATAGCATACAAAAACATAATATTTATGGTGACTGTGAAGCTGTGTATACATTCCTTGCAATAGAATAACATATAAACACTTCACCTTGACAAGCATAAAAAATCAATTGATGTCTTTGAGTGCTGCTAAAAAATGAGTACATTGCATTGGTTGGTCCAATCACATTTGCTTGAGAGTTATGGCCATGGAGAAATGGATTTATAAGCTTCATCACATTTTATTGATTGAATAGAAACATTCAAGATTACTTATTAGATTCTTCCATTGTAGTAATTTTGTTGATCAATTTATAACATATTATATGTTATCCTGAATTATTGATTATCTATATTTTAAATTGTATTTGCTTCAATATAATTCTGAAACTTGTTAGTTGCATTAGTACTATACACAATAGTGAAAAATAGGGTATGAAGTATTTTATGTATTGTAAATGCAAAAAAAACATTATTTCTTAGTGTGTAATTTTATAATGATGTACTTTTAATCAGTATCTGGATCTAGGAATTATGTTAGTATTATACTATATCAATTTAATTAAGAGAGCGGAAGCAATCTCCACCTTACAAAAGAGCAAAGTACACTACCTTTTGGTAGTGTTGTGTTTCTGCTGGCAAGTAGGGTTTCAGGCCTCAGGAGGTGGTGGTCAGTGGGATTGGGTTCAGGCCAGTAAGGTGAGGATAGCTTGTGAGGCACACTGTCTGCTGCATCATCTATCTTCATGACTGGACATATCTTCTTTAAATTAGTTTAATAGCAATGTTTGGAACTCATCTTTTCTTAAGGTTTACTTTCTACCACTCCAGCTATCTTTGTAATATTTTTGATTCGTCGTTTCGTAATATTGATTTAACATTGGGTGGGGTAGAGTGGTCTGGTCAGTACCTACTAGTTATAAAATTTAGGTTTTTAAGATGCTTAAGTTCTTTGATGTTATCATCATCAAATTTAAGTTGGCAAACTATTAATAAAATTCTAGTGGCTATAAGTATCTCCAGGTCACAAGCTATAGTAATGCATACCAAATTTCATCCAAATCCATTCAGTAGTTTCAGAAGTTCAGATTGAGTTACAAACATATAAACTCACATTTATAAAAAATTGTAGGCATTAGGATTTTATGTTTTGAACTTAAAATAGAGCATTTTATGGTACAATGACGTTTTTTCTTAAATACATTTAAAATCAGTATCAGCTTAATTAGTGTGTCGACATATGACACTAGATCACGGGCGTCCGATAACTTTTGGAATAATTCCTTAGGCTTAATAGTCCTAGTCCAGTGTGTGTATCAAAAATTGAAATCAAATATTTCTTTATTCTGTAAATAGTGGCCGCCCACATCTTCGTCCGTGTGAGCTATAGATTTTGATAATCCCAAAGGAGCCTAATATTTTCCGAAATTAAAAGTATCCTATCTCAATCCAGGTCATAAACTATATGCGTACCAAATTTCATTCAAATCCGTTCAGTAGTTTTCGCGTGATTGAGTAACGAACATAAAAACGCACAAACATACAAACTTTCACATTTATTATATTAGTAGGATAATCAGGGTTCGAAATAATAAAGATAATTACACTTTTTGATAATTATTACCATGTTAATACAAATTTTGGTTATAGGTATTTTTTTCTAACAAATGTAATAATAATTCGGGCGACTCGTGCTCCCGAGTCCATGACCCTGTATCGCTGTGTCCATGTTGGATCTTTCTCACAAAGCAAATCTAATGACACTCTAGTTTCCTTGAATTCATATGATCTGATTGAACTGAATGTAAATTTTATGTAATGCTTTAAGATACATTCGAATACAATTTAAATTCTTTGTTAGTTAGTTATAATCAATTGATAATTATCAAACTGTAATTAATTATTATTGTATCCATTAGAACCCTTTCTGTAATGCATCGAAATTGTTTTTGCTTATGAAATTTATAGGGGGTTCAGCAGTATTCATTTATGTAACAAGCATCGGTAGAGATGAGATGTGACCATTTGTAATAGATCTATTTTGACGACGCATTCATTTACCTGAAAGTTTCCTTCTTGGCATTGAGCTTCTATTTTAAGCTACAACGTCTACCACGGTATACCACATTCGTTTCTGTCATTATTGCACAAAATGTTCGATTTTTAATAACTTAAATAAATTTATCGAGTGTAGGTCAAACTCAACAGTGAATGTAGTTGACTGAATTCATAAGACGCATTTTTTTGCTGTGGCCTCGGCTATTAGTTTTTCAATTGCTCAACAACTATCTGCTAATTAAAACGCATTGAACTACGTCCCATTCATCAAGTGTCTTCAACACGTATTTTGATAAAGAAATCGCTCTCCTGTACCCTTAGTACAAGTTTGAGCTCACGAAAACTATCATAGTTTTCGTAATTGTACATTATGTTTCTATGTCCATTTTGGTGAAAACTAACGAAATATACTCAAAATTTAAGAAGACGCAAATGATTTAATGATAGAATTTAATCACTGTTTATTTGTATTGAAACGAAAATAATAAAATCAATACCCTTAGTACGAGTGCGAGCTCACGAAAACTATCATGGTTTTCGTACTTAATTGTAAAACTCGTACTAAGGGTACTGTTCATAAGTCTCCAGAAAGAGAAGCTTTTACTGTTATGGCCTGTGTAGACGAAGGACTTTTGTCCGCAGAGGACTAAAGTACCTGACCTGTGAATAAAATGTCCGCCGAGGACTTGTCACGGACTCAACGCATACGATGTGCGACAATTTGTTCTCAGAAAATTTGGAAAAGTGCACGATATGTAAGTAAATATGCTCAGATTACATTGTGTTGTACCTAATTAACATGAAGTTTAAGAAAAAGGGAAGACGTTTTAAAAGAGCATACTGGGTCCTCACTATAATCGGAGACTGGATTCATCCCTTTAAATCAGATCGAGCGCGCTGCGCGCAATGCGGACTAAAGTTCGCCGTGTGCGTTGCTGCCTAGTCACATGAGTTCTATATTTTCGGGGGCACCCGCGTACCTTGTCCAGTCCGGTCTCTTAGTGACATCGGTTGTTCGGGGGACTTTTGTACGCGGTATCATTAAATGTCGTGTGTTACTCGATGCAGTTCAGTCAGTGATCTATTTCGGCGGATATAAAATACCTCGGACAAAAGCCCTACATCTGCGCAGGCTATTGTTTGAACCACTCATCATCAATTTTTAACAGACAGCGCACAAGGTTGACAGAGCATTATGGATAATAATACCAGCAATATTCGCAAACCCACAAAGCAGAGAACTATGACGTTTTACAACCTGCTTATAAGAACATTTAACTTGTGATATAAACAGTTTTCAACATACTCTACATGTCTATTCTAAGACCTCTAATGATGCCTGTGTTCATGGTATAGATGTTATGAAGTTTCCGCTACAATAATGTGGTGACGAAATGTGGTAATTAAGCAGGGGACCCTATAGTGCTTGCCTACCCGTAATTTGTTGGCAGCATTTTACGCTCGTTACGGCCCTCGCTCGCTTAACACAGTAATGTTTCAATTGCCCGCTTTTCTTAAGATGACGCCCTTAACATTTTACTTTATGGCACGTTTATGCCGCCGCCGCGAGTGAACAAAGAATCAAATTCTTTGTTTAACGTTCCTGGTTGGGTGGCACTTTGATAATTATTATTATGTGTGTGTGTGCGCGACGTTCATTTGTGTGTGTGTCATTCAACATTTTAGGTGTTCCAACTTAAAACGTATGTAGCTAAAAATGGGTGTTTGATTTGTAGCCGCCCAAAATTAAAAACACTGTGCGTACGCGCATGCAACCTAGAGACAAGGCACAATACTGCATTATAGTATACTGCAGTGATACTAATTTATCGCTGAACGTATAGTGAATACCAATGAATGACTTCTGCAAGTGATCACAGATTCTACTCTCGAACAACAAAAGATTTATTGTTTAGTTTAATAATAATTTATTCTTGCTTCGAACTTAAGTCACGTCCGTTGACTATAATACGCCAAAGTGTTGTGTCAATTCCGTCATATACGCATTCGTTGATGGAATCAAGCGCCGTATCATTATCATAGCTTTAATACGACAGGAAGTCATTATCCCACTTGTTTCTCTGTTATTCGCAATTGGGCTGGATGTGACGTCTTGAACTCCTGATTAAGGGTTATGTTCAACGCATAATAAAAATTTTGAAGAACTGCAAAAGTTCGACTCGTGCCACTTACCAGGCCGTATTCGAACCAGCTCCTTTCGCTATGCGGGTGACTGCGGCATCCTCAGATGTAAAAAT